AGTTTCAGTCTAGATTTAGATTTATGGAATCATGTATGCCTGAAATAATTATTTTCTTTTGTCTTGGTCTGCAGTCATATGGATTGAGTTAATATGAAGTAAGGGTAACAAGTGACATTAATTATTGGTTTAACATTCATAAGAAAATGTAACATAAGGTTTGATGTATATATGTTGCTTTATCTGATACAAAAAGCAAAGGGACAAACTTATTTAAATTGTTATATCCTACATAAAGGTCCACTTTTATAAACTAAAAATTAGATTATACAGTTAAGTTAATGAATGTAGTATTTAAGTGTTGCCATGCTAGGACTTCTTTGGGATGTATAAAAGTCTAGACAGCCCCCCAACCTGAAGCAAATATTCTCAAGCAACTACAAACCACATCACAGAAACATTAACCCAGGAACCAATCCCAACAACAAACCCTGTTGCCAACTCTACCAGCATATTTATTCAAGTGACACCATCATAGAACCTAATCACATCAGCCACACCATCAAGGGCTCATTCACCAACACATCTAATGTGATATATGCCATCACGTGCCAGCAATGCCCTTCTGCCACATACACTGGTTAAATCAGACAGTCCCTAAGAATAAATGGACACAAAACAGACACTAAGGGTAAGTCTAGACTACATGGCTCCATCGACGGAGCCATGTAAAATAGTTTACTCAGCATAGTCAATGAAGCGGGGATTTAAATAATCCCCGCTTTGTTAAAATAAAAATGGCCTCCATGCTATGCCGACAATCAGCTGATCCAGTACAGCGTAGCAGTCTAGAAGCGACGCGGTCGACAAGGGAAGCCTTTGTCGACTGCTCCGGTATGCCTCATGAAATGAGGTTTATCAGAGCGGTCAACAAAGGATTCCATTGTCGACCACGCCACGTCTAGACTGCCACGCTGTGTCGGATCAGCTGATCATCGGCACAGCGCGGCGGCCATTTTTATTTTAATGAAGCGGGGATTATTTAAATCCCTGCTTCATTGACTATGCCGAGTAAACTATTTTATATGGCTCCATCAATGGAGCCATGTAGTCTAGACGTACCCAAAGAATGGTAACATACAAAAATCAGTAGGAGAACACTTCAGTCTCCCTGGACATTCAGAAAAGATTTAAAAGTTGCCATCCTTCAACAAAACTTCAGAAAGAGACTTTAAAGAGAAACTGCAGAGCTGCAATTCTTTTCCATACTTGACACTATTAATCTGAGTTTGAATGGCTGGTTCACTACAAAAGCAATTTTCCTTCTATTGGTATTCACTAGAGATGTTAAAATACCTTTATACATAGAGGGGCAGGCGGTAGCCAGTGTTTGTGAGGAGCTAGCTTTTACACCTGTTCCCCTCCTTTTCTTCCCCCCTCCGTCCCCGAGCACTGGCTGTCCCCTCCTCTCCTCCTCATCCCACCCCTACTCCTCGGAGCAGGCTGGGACCAGATCACTCAGGTCTCTAGCTAATTCCTCAGGCTGTTTTGCCTAGGGGAGGAGGCTTGGGGGAGGTTGTGGAAACGCCCCCACACTCGCTGGTGATGAGAAGCGGAGCAATGTGGCAGAGATCTTGGTGAGTGCATTAGGCTCAGGCAAGGTCACTGTTGCCTGCCACTGAGTATATGGAGGGACTTCTACTGCTGGCACCAGGTCCCTCCTGCTAGTTACCCCAAAATAAGGGGCCCCAGGCAGTTGGATGCACCGGGCTCTGCATACCAATTGCTGGCCCCTTGTCCCTCCCCCCAGCACTGAATTGGGGGGGTGACCCTTTGTCACCCCCACATCACCCCTGCTCCAATCAGCAATTCTTTAGCTTCGACCGTACCTCCCCGAGTCACCTGATCGGTATCAATTTGAAAAAGCACTCAAAGAAGAAAAAACAGTTACCTTCTCGTAACTGTTGTTCTTTGAGATGTGTTGTTCCTATCCCTTCCATACGGATCCTCCTTTCCCTCTGTTGGAGTAGCTGGCAAGAAGGAATGAAAGGAGTGGTTGGGTTGGCGGAGTTAATATTGAGTGACATGAAGGTGTCACTCTAGGGGGCTTCCCACTTGATCCGATGGAAGGTGCAAAGGGAATCATAGAATCATAGGACTGGAAGGGACCTCAAGAGGTCATCGAGTCCAGCCCCCCGCCCTCAAGGCAGGACCAAGCTCCATCTACACCATCCCTGACATTGGGAAAAAGCTTCCAATGACTGTGCACGTGACATGCGCATACCTGATTGGAATGAATATGAACAACATATCTTGAAGAACAAGAGTTAAGAGACGGTAAGTAGCTATTTTTTTGTTTAGGTGATTTCAGTACAGATTTATGAGAATGGAACCTTCCAAAAACACACGCATGTTTTGGGATCATCTCATCATATGAATAGAAGACATAAATATCTGGTAATCAACTTTTTTTCAAAGTAAATCAGAGTGTCTAGGGATTCCTTCACATACATAATTCATTCCATGTTTATGAAACACACAAGTTTGGCCCTTTGTGAGTAAAAGACAACACTGTCAAACTCTGCTTCTCAACAGAATACACAATCTGTGGAACTTGTTGTCAGGGCATGTCGTGAAGGCAAAACTATAACTGGATTAAAAAAAGGAATTAGATAAATTCATGGAGGATCATGGCCATTAGCTAAGATGGTCAGGGATGCAACCCCATGGTGTATCCTTGCTTGTCACTTTTATATGTTTTGCTCATTTTGAGTCTTCCTTTCTAGCTTGATTCTTCTTAATTCTTCTATATATTTTAGGTGGATAATAACATTGTTCTTACTTGTCAAGGTTGGGGAGCCAAAGTACTTTACAACTTCAGACAAAAGGAAGGGTCAAAGGTGTGAAGTAAAGCTGTATGATGAAACAGAGTTTTCCTTTGCGATGATATGGTAAATTATATACATTATTCAAATATACAAAGCAAAGGTAGAAAAATTGAATGCTGTAAATATTGCCATAATCTTGAAGTAGTTAATTGACATACATTATTAATTGGGTGGCCTCTGTGTGATGAGGCAGCAATATTTATTGAATGGTAGCAGTGTCCATTAAACAATAGTACGTATAAAGGATATCTGGTTGTATGACCTTGGATATGTTATTTGTTTCTATGAGTTATTGACAAACTTACAGCCCAGTAGTGTCAGAATGAAGCTGAACTACAAATAAATTATGAAAGGTCATCAGTGATATGGAAAAATAAAGAAACTGTTCCTAATCAGACCACTAGACATTTTATTTATGAAAAGAGATTTATTGTTTGTTCCCGAACATAGATCTACTTTTGCATGAATGTACTTATTCATGCCTGTCTGCACATTCTGTAATTAAATCTAGAAAATATCAAGTAAACATATTATTGGATATGCATTTATGTAGCACCTGCCATTTTTTAAAAGATCTACAAGTGCAGCACATTTCCTCCCCAAACCAAACAGTTATAAAGGGAATATAAAATATGACAAAAGACTAAGAATTCATAATAGGAAGTGGAGTTAGTGTAAAATAGCATTAACATAAAAATGTTTTGAAATAATCTAGGAAAGTTGTATAGTTATTTGGTGGGCTATATTTTCAAAATACACCCTTGGTGTTCCCATAGTTTTGTTTATATGACCACTTGAATGTACCTGTGACATAATTTGTATACCCAAATGCTTTGTGCTTGTGCACATAGTATACATATTCAGTTTGTTTGTTTAAACCCAGTAGTTTGCATGTACAAATTGTTCATGGACAATCAAAAGCTGGATTGGAGTATTTCTGACAATTTTAACTTATAATTGCATCCTTGTTTAATATTTTCGGATGATGAGAGGAATAAATGCTTCTTAATGGCAGAAAGCAGGAGTGGGGAAACCTCAGGATACGGCTCCCAAGGCTCAGGGCTCCTCTCCCTCCAGCATTGGGGAGCCTGTGCCTATTATGGGACAGGAACACTCAAAATCTACTAGCCTGGGCCCCAATAGGCCCTGATGTGCGAGAGGAATATGGGGTGGGGATGTAAATGACTAGTTGACTAGCCAATAAGCAAATGCTTATCGGACAGTTGAAACACTAGTTGACTAGTCACTTCTTCCCCCTTGCTGCCTCTATCAGAAAGAGGCAGGAAAGGAGGGGGAGAAGAGGAGGTGTTTCAAAGCGGCAGCATTGCATGGAGCCCAGGCCTCCGTGCGGTGCTACTGCTTTGAAACACCGGCCTTGGTCTGCATGTGGCATTTTAAAGTGGCAGCGCTGCATGTAGCCCTGGGTCTGCCGCTTTGAAACGCCATGTACAGCCCAGGGCCATTTGGGGAGTCCCAGGAGTCCCCAGTTGGCCCTGGGCTGCATGTGATGTTTCAGAGCAGCAGCGCCCCCACTAACCCCGGGCTCCACATGGCACTTCCGCTTTGAAACGCTGCAGGGAGGCTGGAGCCAATGGGGGACTGCTTGGGTCCCCTACTGACCCTGTGCGCCCTGCTGTGTTTTCACCTTTGAAGTGTAATACACTTCAAAGGTGGAGGCACCTTCTATCAACTAATTGAATAGTTGATGTAAATTGCATCGACTATTTGATTAGACAATTAATCTAAATTTAACCTCCCTAATGTGCGGAGTGTCTCCTTCTTAGTCAGGGCCCATGTCAATGAGGGTTATTTTGGGTTTTTTGCCTTCTCACTTGTATGCGGTTCCCAACTGATTTTTCTGTGAGTCAGTGGCCCCGACACACAAAAGGTTCCCCACCTGGCATAAAGGCTAATACCTAATGTTTTTCATATATTGTCATCAATGTTCTCCTATACTTTAACTATTAAATAGGGTTTTTTTTATTTAGTTGGGATAATGAATCTATCCAGCTTGCGCAGAGTTGGATGCCACGAGAAACAGGTATCCCCTTTCGACTTTTTTGTGAATAATTTCTGCTATTGTTTATCTTTAGTGTGATACTTATTTTAAATAACAAATAATTATGTTTTTGTACCCAGTAATATTTGCATCAGATGTGAGAATAAATTTTGACAAATTCAGGAACTGTATGACTGCAACTGTTATATCAAAAACTATTATTACAACTAATCCAGGTAAGAGACTATCAAAATCCACATATTGTTGACTATAGTCGGAATAGTGAGCCCATTATACTTCACAATAACATGCTTGCTCAAAAGATGCGGAAAAGCTATTTTGGGATACCTCCTCAGTGTAAATGTAGCCATTGGGGGGACGTGATAGAAGTCTATAAAATCATGACTGGTGTGGAAAAAGTGAATAAGGAAAAGTGATTTACTTGTTCTCATAACGTAAGAACTAGGGGTCACCAAATTAAATTAGTAAGTAGCAGGTTTAAAACAAACAAGGGAAGTTTTCTTCTTGCAGTGCACAATCAACCTGTGGAACTTCTTGTCAGAGGAGGTTATGAACACCAGAATTTTAAGAGGGTTCAGAAAAGAGCTAGATTAATTCATGGCGGTTAGGTTGATCAATGGGTACTAGCCAGGATGGGTAGGAATGATGTCCCTAGCCTCTGTTTGTCAGAGGCTGGAAATGGATGACAGGAGTGGGATCACTTGATGATTCCTTGTTCTGTTTATTTCCTCTGGGGCACCTGGCATTGGCCACTGTTGGAAGACAAGATACTAGGCTAAGTGGACCTATGGTCTCACCCATTATGGCCATTCTTATGTTCAATTGGAAATGTTCTCTAAAGGCTTTGTCTCACCTGCAAATAGCATTATGCTTGTTTTGTGAAATTAATATTTGCATCCTTTCTGAGGGCCAGATATTTTATTTCATTGTGTAAATGGGGTGGAAGGAGAGAACAGGTGTTGATCTGGGCTGAGTCATCCTCTGTGCAGGAGAATGTTGGATCAGCAGCAGGGCTCCCAATCACTTCACTTGAGTTCAGGGAAGACCCTTGTGTGAACACGGTACATTGAGAACTCTTGATTTTGGGGACTGGAGAAAATGTCAGACAAGAGCTGATAAACACAGCTTACTGTGTATTGAATGTGCCATACAGTCTCTGGACATATGGCACATATATAGGTGCTTATGCAAACTGATCTTAGCTCCCTCAGCCCTGGTCTACACTAAGGAGTTATTTCAAAATAACTCCCTTAGGTTGAATTTATATGGGGGACATCCACACTACCATGCCCGTTATTTCGAAATCTCTACTCTTGCTTTTCCCGGGGAATAACACTAATTCTGAAATAGTTATTTCGAAATAGTGTTAGCGTGGACAGTCTGGTGCTGCTGTTTCAAAATAACTACTCCCCAGTGTAATTTGAATTAATTACTCCCCGGGTTCTTCCTGGGGCTCTAAGTTGAGGAAACGCATCGACATTAATGGAGCCTGCCTTGGACTAATTTCAAGGCTTCCCTGTAGTGGGGACATGCTATTTCAATGTTGTTGTTTCGGGAGTTATTAAATTGAATTGTTATTTTGAAATAGTTTCCTAGTGTAGACATACCCTCACTGTGACAAGATCTCCATAAAGGAGAGTAGCCGTGGCAGTGTAGTCTTGAAGCTGGTCCTGATGCCAGGGAAAAGTGCCTGGATGGTGCACGGGGCATCTCAGCTTTACAGATCTGGGTGGCAGGGCTAGGCCTGATTTAATTTGACTTTCTGACTTTTCTGCTCCTCCGAGGCCTTATCTTTGTGTTAGTGATATGATGTTGATACTGTAATATTTTGCTCATATTTTTAGAGTATTTTCCCCTCTTGCAGAAAGAGAGAGTCAGGTGTTGAGGGAACAATAATTTCTAGTTTTTCTGCTGCATCTCCATCTAAGCTTCCTTCATGCATCCCATGCATGTATTAATAGTTGGAGAAGGAAAGAGAGAAGCATCTCTCTGCTAATTGCAGACTGATGTGGTTGTGGTGCTACCAGAATAAAAATAGCAATAACTTCAGAATTCAGATGTTTTACTTGTCATTTTTTGCAGGGAACTTTTATTCATATCTAGTTTTTATTTTATATTTTCAAGACACACCAGAATCGAATATTCTTTACAACTTCGTAAAAGAGAGTGCAGCAATGGGAACTTTGAATGATATAACTGACGATCAGTTACAAGAATCTATAAATTGTAAGCATTCATCCAGATGCCTTTGATTTCATGTAACTGTTGTGTAGTAGGCATGTTAAATATCGGTTAATTGAATAATCAAGTAACCGCATGAATTCTTATCTATTAGTGGACTATTCTATAGTCCCCAGGGGCGGGGCTGGCAGCCAGTGTGCCTCACTCCCAAGGAGCCCACTGCCACTGTACCAGAGGCAGCAGTGCAGGGTGCCAGATAGGAGCTGGTCCACTAGGAAAGCCAGTTTAAAACTAGCTCCCCTTGCAGACTGGCTGCTTGTTGCCCTGTGCTGCTGTCTCTGATAAACAGGCAATAGTGTGGGGTGGCAGCAGCCCTTGTCCAGGTGGGATCTGAGCTCCCGGACCTGGTATGAGCCGGAACCGAGCCAAACTGCCTGCCCGCCTGGCTCCTAATACACTTTAAATGCAGAGTCGTAGCGGGGGTAGGTCCCAAACCAGCAGCGAGTCAGGACTGAACCAGGCTGCTGGCCACCCAGCTAAAAAAGTAACTGGCAGGGAAGGGGGAAAGCGTGTAGTCTATAGCATTAACCTATAAGCTTTTGCTTATCGGTTAACCGGCTACACTATTACATCCCTATTGTGTAGTACTGTCGTTTGCTTTTTGGGCCTGTTCCTAAAGCGTTTTTATTTTTAAATGGGGTAAAACTCATTGACTTCAATGGAAAATTTCACTCAAGAATTTCAGGAGCCAGCCATTACTGAGCTACTTTAAACATTGTCTGACCGTGTTGTGTACCTCAACTGTGGATGACTGCTTTCCTGCATAGTTTTGACATGCTATTCTTAGAAATGCACTGGCCTTGGAGCAAGAGGCCTAAACTGAATAAATCTGAATACATAAGCGAGGGCAAACTATCACACATAAAACACCTATACATGAATATATTTAGAAAAAGAAGCATAGAATAAATTAGAACAAATATTTATTTGAAAATGTTTTACAGTAAACCTCATTTTCTTTTCGATGGAGCTCCTAGGTATTTTATTGAACATCTCACTTTTTTATATTTATTGTGAACTTACTCTAAAACCCATTAAAGACAGTGGAAGTCTTTCCATTAATTTCAGATGGACTTTAGATCAGGCCCAATATTTATTTTTAAACTTAATCGTTCTTTTTTATTTAGTGGTGTTTTCTAGGATTTATTTAATATTTTCCTTTCAACTTTAGTGCAGACTATAGTTGACATTTATACTGTGGAGCAATTAAAGGTAAAAGCTTTGCAGAATGAGGGAAAACTTGAACCAATCTATGGCATTATTTATGCATATATTTCTACATTGAATATTGATAATGATACATCTAAATTTATACGAAACAGGTGGTAAGTAACTGTTTATATTTTAAATCTATATGAAAAGCTCTTGCCCCTCTCTCCTTTAGCCTTTCACAGTTGACATCAAACAGTGTTTAGCCTAGTTCCAGAACAGTAAAATGAAACTGTTTTGCCTGGGGTGGATGGGAGGGAGGAAGGCAGAGGTGAAAGTAAGCGAGTGCACCCCAGTACACAGTTCCGGTAAGAGTGGGCTGCACTCTGGTAAGAGCCCTCTGGGGCATGCCACTCTGCGGGAGGCAGTCAGGCAATTTAATGGGGCCAAATAGAATATGCGGGAGGCAAGCATGCTCCCAGCTGGGTTAGTAGGAGGGGCTGGCAGCAGCTTCCATCTGGCTACAGTATCTGGCCCTGCTCCTGTCGGTGGGGTGGATTGCAGAATTGGCCCCTCTTTGGCTGCAGTTGTGTTAGCTGTCTCCTGTTCTGGGATAGGCTTAAAGATCTGCTCCCCATTTGCTGCGGGAGGGTTTGGTAGTGGGTCATACATCCCAGCTCTGACTCCTGCTCCCCTACGTATCTCCAACCCCCTGCCCTGACTAGGGAGGTAATCAAGTAGTGCATCAGAGAGGCAGCAAGTGTGGGGAAGGAAAAGGTGCCAGTGCTGTGGGGAGCTGACTTAAAAACTGGTTCCCCTCAGCACAATCTCCACGGTGCCACCTGCCCCCCTGCCCCACGCTGCTGCCTCTAAGAGAGGCAGCAGGGGGCGGGGGTTAGGGTAGGCTGCCACAAAGTAGACCCTGTCCACTGCGACCTTGGCTGGCCACAGGCAGAGGCGGCTCCAGCAGCAGCCCTTGTTTGTAGCCACCCACAGCCACCATGAACAGAGGCTGCTGCGGCAGCAGCCCCTGTTCACAGTGCTCGGGCTGGCTGTGACCAGGGGCTGCTGGACTCAGCACAAGCCAGGACTGAGCAAGCCTGGTTCAGTCATGGCTCCCACCCATCCGGGACTGCTGCAGCTCAGCATTTTAAATGTAGTAAGAGACACACGGCTCTTACTATATTTAAAATGCAAAGCCACAGCAGTCCCAGCTCAATCCCGGCTCACACCGTTCTAGGAACTACCCCTGCTTCAGCTCTGCAGTTTAAATGTAGTAGGAGCCAGGCTACCTGCATGCCCAGCTCCTACTGCATTTTAACATTTAAACTGCAGAGTTGCAGAGGGGGTAGCTCCTTCTGAGTACCTCCTGTTATTGGCTAATCATGTAATTGATACAAATTAGATCGACTACATGATTAGATCGACTACATGGTTAGGCATTTAGCCTCCTCTTAAAATCCTTAGCCCTGACTCCTGCACCCACAGGTCCACCCGCTGCCCTGAACAGCCCGCACTCCACCTCACACTTACATTTCTTACAGATACTGTTGTGTCACACTCCCCCTCTTTAGCCTTCCTAAGGGGGGGGAACAGGTTTTGATACTACAGTACCTGTAAGAAATGTAAGTTACTTTCACCCATGAAGAGAGGGGATCTGGTCTCTTTAGAATGGAGGATTTCATATGTAGTATTTTGTCGGAGATTGCTAGAGATGGGGCATGCCCCACCTGGCCTTTGGAAAGAGAGAGGAGAGTAAGAGCCATTTTGTGTCTGTGTATAAAAGATGAAGGACTCTGGCTGGAAGGAAGAGTCCACTGTCAGGGTGGGCTTGGAAGAAAATCAGGTGGTACAGGGAACAATTTCAAACTGACAATAATAAATGTGTACCTGTTGTAATGAATTCTTTGTCTTTTCCTGTTCCTTGCAGTTCAGGGTGCCACTATGTGGTCAATGAAATGTCAGACACCTGCACTTTCTGCAGTGACAGTTCTTCAAATGCTAAGTCTGTCTTTACCAGTTTTGATTTGCTAGTTGATCTTACAGATCACACAGGCACTTTAAATTCTTGTAACCTCTCAGATGTTGTAGCTGAGGAAACATTAAGTTGCACGGTAAATAAAAATCAGTGTCCCCTGCTTGATATGACCTGTTTTCTAGTGTGAAGATTCAGCTATGTGAAACAAGCCAAAAATTATTTTGTTTTTACTTCTTATACAATAGAACTTCAGAGTTATATACATCTCAGAAATGGAAGTTGTTTGTAACTGAAATGTGCGTAACTCCAATGTTATGGCTGCTCTTTTAAAAGTTTACAATTGAATATTTAACTTAATACAGCTCTGAAATTTTACTACAAAGAAGAAACATGCTGCTTTCTATTTATTGCTTAGAGGTTTACATTTAACATAGCACTGTATTTGTTTTTTGTTTGTTTCTGCTGCTGCCTGGTTGTGTACTTCTGGTTCCAAATGAGGTTTGTAGTTGACTGGCCAGTTTGTAACTCCTGTTTGTTAACTCAGAGGTTCTACTATCCAACTATTGCTCCTGTCAAAGAATAGAAACTAACAAAACTATGTTTAAATTTATTTAAGAATTTATAATGGTACCTCTTAAAACCTTACTTTGAATAAAAGAGATTCATTTTTAAAATTACACTTTTGTGGAGGCATGATTGATATTTCAATTTTTCTGTCTCCCTGAACACTAAGTAGTGTATTCTGTTCAATATATTTAAGTATTTATAGAACATAAACACTGTGATATTTGATTGCTTTACAAGTTTATTAATGAACGGCTTCTCTTTCCATCTCCCACTCAGTGGGAAATATTTGTTGCAATTTTTTTGTGAGGTGTGATTATTAGAACATTAGACCAAAGAAATAAGTGACTCCTTGTTGTATGGGCTCGTCTACACTGGCCCCTTTTCCGGAAGGGGCATGTAAATTTCATGAGTCATAGTAGGGAAATGCGCGGGGGATTTAAATATCCCCCGCGGCATTTAAATAAAAATGTCCGCCGCTTTTTTCCGGCTTTTAAAAAAGCCGGAAAAGAGCGTCTACACTGGCCCCGATCCTCCGGAAAAAGCGCCCTTTTCCGGAGGCTCTTATTCCTACTTTGAAGTAGGGCACTTTTTCCGGAGGATCGGGGCCAGTGTAGACGCTCTTTTCCGGCTTTTTTAAAAGCCGGAAAAAAGCGGCGGACATTTTTATTTAAATGCCGCGGGGGATATTTAAATCCCCCGCGCATTTCCCTACTACGACTCATGAAATTTACATGCCCCTTCCGGAAAAGGGACCAGTGTAGACGTAGCCTTTATGTATATCTTTGCGTGTTTCAGAAATAAGTATGTTGTTTGATCATTTTAATAGGTCCATGAGTTCCTCACTCTGACAGAAGAGCAGAAGACAGCATTAAAATGGCACCTTCTTTTGGAACGAAGCAAAATGTATTTTAAAGTTAGTATGTAGTGTTAACACTATACTAGTAAACCAGTTGTTGGTGTCAGTTAAGGAAAGGATTATTTTAGATAAGAAAGTCACCTAGTATACTTGTTAATGTAGTTAAAGGCTGTGTCTACATTGGCACCCCTTTCCAGAAAAGGAATAAGGGATCTTCCGGAAAAGGGCTTATTTTCCGGAAGATCCCGTCTGGACTGGCGCTTTTCTCCGGCAAAACCCCGAGCCGGAAAAAAGCGGCAGCCCTGTTTCTGGCAAGTGCCCCACGGCATTTGCAATTCCGACTGGTCTCATTAGCATCCCTTTTCCGGAAAGGGGTGCCAATGTAGATGCAGCCTGTGAATTTATGTTATTAATATTTGTAATTATTCCAAGAAAACAACAAAAATCCTTATTATTGGGTTTTTGACAGTAGTATGCGCAAAATCTGAGTGAGGCCTGCAGGATCTAGCCACTGCTGAGTAGAACCTTGGTCTTGAATTATGCATGTGCTTAACTGTAAACATATTAGAACCACTGATTTAATTGGGACTGCGCCTTCATAAACTTAAGCACATGTATGTTTGTAGGATCAGGGACCAAGTTACATGTTTGATTATATCATACAGTTAGAGTCCTGCAGATCCATGGATGTGAATGTGGCTATCCACAGATAATTTTTGCAGATATGGATACAAATTTTTTATTTAGAGCCCTGCAAATTTGTAAATATTTGCTTTAAATCCATAGGTATCCACATCCATTCATCTTTTTTGCGGATGCAGATGCAGATACAGTTTTGTATTCACATGGGGCTGTGCATACAATATCTAGGATTGTGTAAATATTATCTTTCATATATAATTATGCAAATTAAAATTTAAAAAAATATTGGTTTTGCCTTTGGGGAAGGAAATGTAATAGTATCTAGTCTTTACATGTCTTGGGAATAGCTACAGACCCACACAGATGGAGAAGGGAATTATTTAAAACATTTGCTCCTTTGATGGAACATTCCTGGATTTTTTAAAATCATACACTTTATTGTGAGCTGGACAGTACTTCCTGTTTAAATAACATTGGCTGTTATAGAACTACTGTAATCAGACTTAAAACTTTTAACGTTCATTAAATTTACAGTTTATAACACATACCTTTCCTTAACCTACATATACTCTGGTTCCCATAAAATGGAAGCACTAACTTTGATATTTATTATAAGCAATATGTTTCACTTAGATTTGGAAAGAATAAGTTTTGAAACATTTATCAGAAAAAATACACGTTTTTATTTTTACAGTTGGTTTTTTCGCCCAGTTTGAGAACCGGATTGAGAGTGAACTTGCTTTCGTGCAAATTGGCAGATCCTGTAGAGGCCAGTCAGAGCTTGTCAGGAAAAGGAAGAAAATAACATTGTTTGGCTTTTTAACAGCTGGAAAGATTTTAAAAGTTTGCAGTTCATTGAAACTACATTATTATAAAAAAGTTTAATGCAATACTTCCATTTGTTAAATGCATTTAAATTGGTAAAAGAGAAACAGGTTTATTACTTACTGATCTTTACAAACAGGTCTATATCGTCTCGATCTTTCTATTTTATGTTATTCTACTTAGAAAAGCTTGTTTAGGGCTCATTTTAGGAAAAAATCTGTCTGACATTTAGATGTACTTTCTGGTAAATTAAGCTCTTTAAGTAGAGAGGGAAACAATTTTTCATTCAGTTTATAGTAAATTTTGAAAACTGATCAAAGGAATAAAAACCGTTATTTAATCTAAACTGCAAACATGTTTTTATTACAATATATCCCACAGAAAGGAAATTCTAAAACTATATATTTCTTGATTTATTTTAGTAGATATAATCTGTGATCTTGTATAACATGGGAGAGTAGCAGATCACAGAATTCTGTCTAGCCAAAAATTATTCTCTGAGACTGCTGGCTCACTGAAGTTCTGTGTTCTTTAGCCAAAGAGGATAATCACTCCTTTTTAGGGAAAATCCTTGTAATTCTAAACCACAAAGCATAGTAGACAAGTGATTCTCAACCAAGGGTACTTGTACCCCCTGGAAGACCTCTGCATAGCCCCAGGTACATCAACTCATCTATATGGTTTCCTAGTTTTACAATAGGCTACATAAAAAGCACTAGCAAATTAGTATGAACTAATTTCATACAATTACTTGCTTATATTACTGTATAAACTGTACACTGAAATGTAAGTACAATATTTATATTTCAGTTAATTTTATAATTATATGATAAAAATGAGAACGCATTTTTTCAGTAATATTGTGCTGTATTTTTGATGTCTGGTTTTTACTGATAGCAAGTCATTTTTAAGTGAGGTGTAAGTTTGGGGGACACAAGACAAATCAGACTCCTGAAAGGGGAACACTAGTCTGGAAAGGTTGAGACACACCAGAATAGACATTGTGTTTCCTGCTTCTCCATAATGAAGTCATGTAGACTTTCTAGCTCATTTTCTACATAGGGCCAGCATACTACTTAAGAATGACGCTGCATTGAGCTTGCCCACTGAATCCCTCAGAATGCCATGAAAGTATTTTCCCCCACAGAAATTAGTCAGCTTGACATGAATGTGAAAGGGGCCACAATCCAAAGCTGATAAGATGAGCTGTTGATTCCAAATATGGCTGACTGCTTTAAAATTGAACCATTTAAACGTATTAGAGGATAACTGTGTTGCAACCAGATCCTCTGTACAATTCTGTTTGTAATAGAGATAGGATCCTATAATAGAGATAGGATCCTATGGGAAGAAAGAGCCCGGAGCATGCTATGAACAGCTCTCCCAGACTTCAAGAATGGAAGCCTGTGTGGGAAGACCATAGAAAGCCCAATATGCATGTCCCAGATGTAAAAAAAATGCTATTTGAATACACTTACACTTAAAAAATGTCTGTCTACAAAGCTTTACCAGCTACTGATCCGCTTCTAAGTCCACATATCCTCTCTCCTTGTGGTTATGCATGGCTCCTATTCTAGTTTCACTTATTTGTGCTTAGCTGTATTTGAGAAGAAGGGATTTTTTACATCAGGAATCTCAAACTTTTTCATAGTTCATATCACATCTTAAAATGACCATGGACTTACTTCTTCTTGGATTCAGGAGTGCACTGGCCATCTTTCCCCTCCACTCATAAACTTGTAATCTTTCTGTGACAAAGGGAATTGTTTATCTGGGAAAGCATCATTGGGAAAATATAATACTTTTCGCTGTATTTTCATACTTTCAAGAATCTGGTAACAAGGAGCGCCAATACCCGAAGGCTATCCATAAACTAACAGAAATTTGGTCATTGTGTACAGTGTTAAATGGAAAGCTGTTAGTGGGACTTGAGACTTCTGTAAAAGTCAGAAGTTTGTTCTCGCTACGTTGGCCTTTTGCAGAAACTATGATTTCGCTGTTGAGAGTATCAAGAGATTTTTTTGTTGAATAGGATACTTTGCTAGGTTAATTCAGATCCTTGTTTCACAATAGCATTGGCAGCAACATTAAGTTATGTACATGAAAATTATATTTCAGTCTCAAAATGTTGTGTCTGGTGCAATTTCAGAAGTAACAACTAGAGCTCCCTTCTGCATGTGCTTAACTTTAAGCATGAGTATTCTTATTAAGATTCACATGTTTAATTTTTGCAGGATTGTGACCTAAGGTTATTGTAACTGAAAGAAGCTAGTGAAGGACAAAAAGGTTTCAATGTGTTCTTTTTGTGTATTTGATAGCACTTTGTACACCCTCAGTTTCACTTTTTACCCTTTTATGGTCAGGGTCTCCACCAAGGAACACAAGCGCAATAAGATTACTTGACTGATTTCTATATGCTAGGCTAGTGGGCCATGCCTAGATAAATAGATACATTATCAACCCATTTGTAAATACACTGTATATTGTGTATGCCAGCTATTCCTTCATTTTTAAACTTCCTTTGAAAAAAATTATTTTTAATGACAGTCACATAATGGAACATATACCTGTGGTGCAGCATATTGCAGTGAAATGTTCATTTAACAAGACCAGATTTCATATGCCCATAATGTCTCCTTGCTCCAACAAAAAGGAAATGGAAAGTAAAAAAATAAAAAGCATCGAAGATAATGCTGATTTTCTTAAACACTTTTAATTTTATGGACACATTTCCAAAGGCCTTAGGGGAAAAAAAATCAATGTTTATTTTAAATCCTGTGCCTCATGCAATAAATTTGTTTTAAGCTTAGGGCAAAGATATGACAGAACATTTAATGTAAACCAATTTTATTAGAAGCATTTCATTACCATTTCCTTTCTCTCATACCAGTACTTTCTTAAAGCTGCTGCCTTTTATTAACCAGACAGCTTGAGTGGCTCTCTCATATATACATATTTTTAGCTGGAGCTGAATGCCATTCAATTATGTGAAAAGCTGGCCCTTCAGAGCAGTGGTAGTCCTTATCCGGGCCTTTATAAAGAAAGCTTACAAAACCAGTTTTCTACCTCAGTATAATTAATTCTCGATTGTGTCCAAGCGAGCTGACAATACATTCTTTTAGGCCATTGGGGCACAGACTTGCACAGCCATCTGGGTAGTTCTTCATTCTCCAGCTATTTTAAAAGGCACCTGTAGAGCGAAATTAACATTCCCTCCAAAAAGAAGTTGGAAAACGACTGATTTTCTTAACAAGACCGGCGGCGTGATTGTTGGGCCACCTTAAACTGCATACTGAGGATGCCCTTTATTCCTGCTTGTATCTCATCGTGCTCCTGCACAGCTGAAACACCTTTGGGGCTCCCTGTCAAAATCAGGTCCCCTTCTTCCAGTGTGATTATTTCACTGATATAGCTGATGATGTAGGGAATGGAGAAGATCATAGAAGAGGTTTCCCCTTCTTGCTTCAGCTCACCATTGACCTTGAGCCAGATCTGCAGCTTGTGCGGGTCTGGTATCTTTTCCTTGGGCACAAACTCACTGACCGGGCACGATGTATTGAAGCCTTTGGCTAAAGTCCACGGGAGGCCCTTTTGCTTGCATTCAGCTTGGGTATCCCGGGCGGTCATGTCCAAGCACAGGGCATAACCCGCCACGTGGTCCATCGCAACTTCCTGGGGGACCGCCTGGGTTTTCTTCCCGATCACCACTCCCAGCTCCACCTCGTGGTGCAGGTCGCTGCAGTAATAGGGCTTGAGGATCGGCTCTCCTTCCCGGACGTAGGCCGAAGAAGGCTTCAGGAAAAAAAGGGGCTCGCTGGGGAGCGCGTTCTTCAGCTCCTGGGCGTGCTCGGCGTAATTCCTCCCCACGCAGATGATGTTCCGGCCCCATTCCCAGAACCTGCCCAAAGGCTTGGCCGAGGCCATGAGCGCGGCCAGCTCCGGGGGCGAAGTGCAGCAGCGCGGAGCGGCGCTCTGACAGCTCGGGACGCCGGGGGCGACACGTGTCTTCTGCGCCAATCCCCTGGCTCGCAGCTGAGCCACGGAGCGGG